GGGAGTCGCCAGCCGACATTAACTGGCAGATGGAATCCGGAGGAGACCTAACCTGTGAGATCTAATCGGTCTATGGGAGGTAATCGGTATAAGTCTATAGGGGTATGTGCTCATATAAAAGGTCTCTTAAGGGAAACTGTGTCTTCCAAAAGATACCTCCCCCTGCTCTCTATTAAAAGGAAAGCAAGGTGGTGCTGAGGAGGGATTGTAAAGAAACAGAGCAATGCCCTTATTGGGAGCCATGGAAAATGTAGTCCACTACTAGGTCCAAAATATAGAAAGACTCCAGGAAGGAATTTCATTTCAAGGGCTTCATTTCCAGTGGCTTCATTCACTGGAATTATGACTGGAGTACAGAGAAGCCTTTAAGCCACAGAAATTTTGTGAAATTATTTCCCACAAACTTATACACTGCCTTCTACCTTCTTGGGCACAGCTGGCAATGCTTTTTTTAAACCAGACCTGTGCATTTTATGACCTGTCGGCCACATCTGGCCCAAGGGCTGTCTTTATCCAGCCTGCAGCAGCATCAGTGTGCTAAATGACAGTCCTATGTTCATCCCATGTTCAGGCCACATTTGGAATACTGCATTTAGTTTTGGTTGCCACGATGTAAAAAAGATGTGAAGACGCTAGAAAGAGTGCAGAGAAGAGCAACAAAGATGATTAGGGGACTGGAGGCTAAAACATATAAAGAACAATTGCAGGAACTGGGTATGTCTAGTTTAATAGAAAGAAGGACTAGGAAAGACATGATAGCAGTGTTCCAATATATGAGTGGCTGCCACAAAGAAGAGAGAGTCAAACTATTCTCCAAGGCACCTGAGGGTAGAACAAGAAGCAATGAGTGGAAACTAATTAAGGAGAGAAGCAACTTAGAACTGAGGAGAAATTTCCTGACAGAACAATGAATCAGTGGAACAGCTTGCCTCCAGAAGTTGTGAAAGCTCCAACACTGGAAGTCTTTAAGAAGATGTTGGATAGCCATCTGTCTGAAACAGTATAGGGTTTCCTGCCTAGGCAGGGGGTTGGATTAGAAGATCTCAAAGGTCCCTTCCAACTCTGCTGTTGTATTATTGTACATGTGGCCCATTGAGAAAATTAATTGACCACCCATTTTAAAGAAATGTCTTATCAAATACCCAGTGTTTTATATTACTACAGCACTGATTTTAGTTATACCTGTTTGTCTAAGACTTCAATCCTGGCATGTTTCCAAAGAGAAATTCTGATAGGCAATGGATGAACTTATTTACAAGTAAAAGTTAAAATTCCTGCTTAAAATAAAATATACAGTGCTTCTTATAAGCACCATTGAAAATAATTTTGATGTGTAAGTGGCCTGCAAATATAGACAGCAGCACATACTATACTTGACTTTGACTATCTTGAAAAACTAAATAGGGTCAGACTATGGCTAGGAGACCACCAGGAAATTCCAAGAATGTGAGGTAGAATTGGAAGTCAAAAACTCATTCTGGACAGCAGTGGCAAACAACTTCTATATCTTGCCAAGAAAACAATCTGACACATCCTTGTAAAGGGCAGGACCATCAATTTGACTCAAATGTATATATTCTGAATCAGAAACCCTTGTCTTGACTTTTCCTCAGTGTTCAAAGTGCTATCTTCTTGTTCTGGAGACAGTTATGCTGGCATTACATTCAGTCTATGCATTGCCCGATTCTTATCTGGCTTCTACTGTCAGACCTGGAAGCCATCTTTTACATTGGGCCTTTAGGCCTGCCACAATTTTTACTGTGGGAAAATGGGAGGAATTATATGGTGTATGGAGAGATATATAGTCTAAATAACATTCCTTCTCAGAGAGTCACGGACACCTTGCCCTGCAGCTGCGATGGTGTGACTGGGAGGCATCTCCAGTTTTGGACGGTGCCTGATTGGACCATGTGATGAACATGTGGGTGCTGGGCAGGGACATGAACCTTCACCTGGGTGGGGAAAAAGACCTTTCCCTTAGAGAGAGTTGCAAGGCACCCATTTTCTGAAACAGGGCAAAATATTTTCTATTTTTTGATATATGCTCCAATATGTAAACTCTATTTTAGCTTTATTGATTTAATCTGTTTCTTTTCTTTTTTAATAAGGGAGGACTGAGGAATTCCGAGAGCTAGTCAATTAGTTTATCATTTTACAGACATTCCAAAAGTGACCCTAAAAAACAACATTTCTAAAATATGCTGGGCTTAAATGAATTGGGGCCTGGAATTCTTCTCCTCTTTCTTGGCGCTTGGGATTTCTCTCTCTTTCCCCGTGGTGCCTTGCTGTCCTCTTTTGTGCTTATATTTTAATTTGCATTTTAATTTTATTGTGAAACATTTAACCTACTTCATTTTATCAGAATTTTGTTATTGGCTGGCCTATATATAAATAACTTTGTCTCTGAACAAGCCTTGGCACATACGAGCCAAACAGCTGCATATTCTTCTCATGTTTATTCCTGCCTCCAGTTTTTTTGCACGTTGAAGTTCAGATTGCAAGTTTCTTGGAACCCAGGGTTATCCTTCTACAGACAGTGAATTGTTAACACAAATTTAAAATGTCAACTTAATTGTTCATTTATATGGCACCTTTCCTCCAGAAGCTCAAAGGTATCTCATATTGTGATCTGTCTTCATTTTAACAGATATGGGCTGGACTGAAAGAGAATGACTAGCTCAAAGTCACTGGGTGAGTTTCTGTGGCTGAAGGTGAACTTGAACCAGTCTCCCTGATTCTTAAGCGCACTCGAGTCTAAAAACATATAATTATATTTTAATAATTCTGCCTGCCCCAGCTTAATAGATCTGTTTTTGATACTGAGCAAAGCATGTATGTAAGTACTTGCCATTTATGTCTTTTTAAAATAGCTCTACATTCCTATCTAAATAGTTTACTTCACTTTAATTGGGGTCAACAGGATGTTGGATCCTCTCACTGCAACGGTAGGGAATGTCTAATTCAAACGTAATGTATAAAGATTTATGGCGGCAGAAGAGAAGTCTTGGCTAAATAAATAAGAGTAACAGCACAAGAGAAATGGAGGGGAGGGGGAGCTCAGATTTGGAAGTCCTTTGACACAGTCCAAAGATGGAATTGTGTTTCATGAACAGCTCAACAGCATACCCTATTGGCTCATTTCTAGAGATGCAAGAAACATTTGAAAATGCAAATTAAGCAGAGAGATGGGAGGTTTCCCCTAAATTTGGTGCACAGAGGGGGTCACTTGCAAAGAAACGTAAAAAGGTGGCAGTGGCTGTTTTCATCTTTCTCTTCCAGCCTTTTTCTTAAGCTTATTGAGAATGTAGACTCCACCACCCTTCTTTCTGTCCTGTTGGGGATAACCAAATGTACACTAACAAAGTTTTCATCCGCCTCTCCTTTTTTGTGGAATTAAGTGTAACTTTAATGTTTTCAAAATTCTAATGCTTTAGCAGGTCACTCAACATATATCCACTTTTGGAATTTTACAGACAATTTTTTTGGATTTTGGGAAATTCAAATCATGTGTGAACTGCCTTCAAGCTAATCCGGAAACACTAAGCTCCCCTAAATAGACAGCAAACATCTGAACAATTGCTATTGGATTTATGCAACCTAGATAATTCTAGCTTGCTTCTTTAGAGATTCCTGGTAGATGTTTTAAGCAAACTCTGTCTAGCTAGTTTCCTCACTAAAGTTGCTTTTTAAGGCTTGATTATTCCATTATCTTTGGCAATTGAAGATGCAAATGTGTACAGCAAAATATAAAAGATCATCAAAAGATCTCATACAGGGCAATGTTTACTTTCTGAATGGATCTAGAGAAGGATGGAGGTTTAAAAGAAGTACCAAGCCTCCTCACGGGTCCATTTTTACAAGTATTATTAAAATACAAACTAATAGTCAGTCATATAAGAAGTCATATATAATTCAAAAAGAGATTTTGAATTTGGAAAAAATTACCGAAAGGAAATGGCTGCGAATGCTTTGATCAAGCTGAAAAGATATTGAGTTCTTTGAAAAATAATAATAGAATTGCCACGTGAATTAATGTTATAAAAATGCTTGTGAGAAAGAGACATCAAGGAGGGAAGAAACAAAGCCGACAAAGATTGACATTGACTCCAGGCCTCAATTTTTAAGTGAATGGATACAAAAATAAAATCATATAAAAGGTGCGGAATCAACAGGACTGGAAATAGCATAGCATTAAACAGACTATGGTAAATACATTTTTAACCATTAGGTTTTTCTAACCTTACAACAAATGCTGCCCCCGGGACAAAGCAATGAGAGTGCTTAGCAAGGTTTTAAATTGTACCTAAATGAAGCATATCATACCTAAGGAAAGGGTCCCTAAAGATTTTGGCACTCTTTTTGTGCTGCTCCACTTACGCTAATGCTGCTAATGCTTGGCCATTTGTTTGCATTAACAACTAACAGTCTTCATGCCAGCTGGAATTTTCAGGAAAATTGGCATGTAAAAAAACACACACACATATTTTCTCCATTTGCTGTAAACAGGGGATGAACAGAACCTCAGGAATCAGGAAGAAACCATCTGGGAAGACTGGCAACATCAACAACCCCCTCCCCACGGCATTAGCAGACAAGACTAGCACAACAGAAGCAATACTGTGGCTTGAGAAATAATACATTAATGGCACCCTTTGACTATGAGGTTTTTTAAAGTACTTTAAAAGCATGATACATGGCATTTCTCCTTCATTGCACAGAAAGTAATTTGGAAGCACTTTCAGGTGGTCTTATAGGCAAAACAGGGAACTGAACAAGAAGCCACCTTTAGCTTTCTACTTGTCCCAATAAAGTCGTATTCATTCAGAGATAGATTCAGATGTCTATTTGTGTGCGTGGATATATTTCTTTTCATTTCTATTGCTTTCACATCAGAATCTCCATATACTTCATCACATCTCTGAGTCCGCATACATCCCATTGATCAGGTAGTCCACTTGAGTGTAGTCTTTCTTTTTGTAGCTTTCATAGGCTTGTATGGCAAATAAGATGACAATTGTTACAAAAAACAGAACACCAAAGAGAAGCACTGCTAAGAGCAAACTGACGTCTACTTGCTGAAAGCTATTTTCTCTATCTGTATCTTTCTGGGTTTTGCTTTGTATTGTAGTTGTTGGCTTGGATAACATTTTGGGATTTGTACTTGGGAGCACTGACAAGGGTCGTACAGAGGTTGTCCCCTTCGCTGGTTGACTAGTAGACAACATTTGCTGTGAAGTGGCGATGTCAGCAGCTTTAGTAAACAGAGGAGGAATTACCTTATCTGAAGTAGGCTTTATCCTGTCTGTTGTAACTGTTGTGAATTCAGCTGACTTTATTGTTACTGTAGAAGTCGCTGCCGTGGTTGTACTTGCAACTGTATGAATCGTACTTTTGGCTGTTGATGCTGATGGCTTGGGGGTGGATGCAACTGTAGATGAGTTTACCACTAACTGAGAATCATTTCCAATGTTAACTGGTGCAGGAATGCTACTTCTTTGCAGCTTTTGGAGAGTTGTGGGAAGCGATGGATAAGTTGCTATTGTAGTCAAAGCAGTGGTTCTCATAGTCCTGGGAAGTGGTTCTGTTGATATTGTTTTCTCCGATATGCCCGATATTAATTTACTCTCTTGTGTCCCTTTTGCTTTTGTAGTACTTGCAATGTCAGTGGTATTGCCTGCTCCTTTTGTGGGAGTTAACCAAGCATGGCTGCTTGGAATACTTAGGGTGTTATTTTTGAAGCTACCAGTAGAATTATTCTGGATTTTAGTCATGCTATTACTAATATTGATTATGGCTGTTGATCCTGTAACATCTTGGGAGACACTAGTGTTCACAAGGCTGGCAGTGGTTGTTCTTAAACTGGAAGTATTTTGTTGTACCAAACTGGCATTGTTTGTAGTGTTGACTGCAGGAGCTCCCGTTATAGTCCTTGATATTAATAAAAGAGGCACTTCTGTGGGTTTCTGAACTGATTCGGAACTCTTCAGCACATCTAACTCTTTATTCACATTTCCTGTATCATTTATCTCATGGGGCGCATCATGGTCTCTTCTTTTACGAGTCACAAATTCTTAAAAAGCAAAAACCAGAACCATAATCAGAACTTCAGCAAAAATGTTCATGGACAAGTTTCAACAGACAAGATTCAAGAATGGTACATAAAAGATAATTGACTCGTCCCCAATTTGCTTACGGTGAATGAAAATCCCAGCCACCACACACCTACCTATCTGTCTGGATGTATGAACTTGTGCACAGCACTTTTGAATTGATTACATTCTATGACTATAAGGTTCAGGTAGCTTTCTATTTTTGGTGTTATTTCTTATATCATTTTTGTTTTTTAAAAAAATGTATTTTACAAATGTTAATGTTGTAATCTGCTCAGGAGCAATTCTTGAAAATAAGAAAGAAGTATATATTTTAATATATATATACATTACAGATAATACTATGTATTAAGAAAATAAATAAATACCAGGGATATTTTTAGTAACTGGTCATGTAAATCATCTTTTTTACCTAATCAGGTGGCAAGGGCTACTCTGCATTTACAAAAGCAGATAGCGCTGATAAAAAAAAGTCAGGTGTATGCAAGCAGCTACTATTCTAAAATTTGTTGTCTTCATCACATCTGGCTGGCAGAACATTCAATAGGTAATTAATTTGAAGGCAAACAATGAACAGGAACAATCAGCTAATTCTTGCCCTAGGCACAGCACAGGGCAATAGAACTTTAAAAGTCCTCATGTTGAGTTTTTGATAGTTGGATGGCATATGAGTTTAATAATAATAGTATTTTGGGAGTTCTCCCCACAAATATGGTTGTGCCCTCCCTGTTTGCAAAACACTTCTCAAACACACCAGAGGTCCCTTTGAAGCCAATGTCTCTGTAGTTCCTAGTGTATTTTTTTCAAATACTTTACTGAGGGTGTGGAACAAAGGGATTTCATGGGGATACCAGTTGCTTTCCTTTCGGCTCTTCATGCTTAAAGCACATATAATGTGAAAATCATAATTCAGTTCATTTAAATGTTTGAGAGAAAGATGTTTTAAAAGAACAAACTGGGGAGGAATGTGCTTAAACGGAAAGGGCGGGGAGAGAGATCTATACTACTGACTGTTGTCTTCAGGAATTCATTCCATCTAACACAGTTGTTAAAACCCAGAAACCTTTTGAGGATGAAAAAAACCTATGCAGTCTGACCACTAGAAACATGTGGGCAGTCAGTTACAAGGTTATTTTCCTAGATCAATGGTCTCACACTTAGAACAGAGATCGTGGTGTAGAGCAATGGTCCCCAATCTTTCCAGCTTGGTGGCCCGGCCTGGGGTGTGTATGTGTATGTGAGTAGCAGGTGCATTCTCTGCTGGAGCTACTTTTAAACTCAAAAAATATACGAACGGTAAATATAAGAGTCTTGTGAAGTTGTCATTTGCTTGTTAAAAATTATTTTTAAAACCAAAAATATTCTGCTAAATCCACGTTACCTCCCATTAGCTCTTTAATATCTTGTCTGCTGGTATTCTGACATGCGCTTAGCTGAGGACAGCGGAGAAGGACACAGTGGCTCTGATACAGCACCGACCAGCAGTAAGGATTATCTGGTGAATCATAAAGAAAGAACATCATTTGGAGTAAGTCAAACCATGTATACAAAAACAAATAACAGCCAACTTAGGTCCTCCCCGATGCTTTGAGATACAGTTCCAACTACTCAGCCAGCCTGAAAAGGATCAGGGATGATAGAAAATGTAAGGCCAAAAGTAACGCCAGTGTAAGGAGGGCTGAATTCCTGAAACAAGGATTTATTTATACTTTAGCAAAGTTAAATGACCACCATCCATTTCTTTTTCAGTTTTTCATTTGTTTCCTTCCCACAAATCTTTTGTGACCTTTTTGTTTCAGCACTCACTTGGAACTGGAATTAAAATGGAGCTCCCAGAAATATTTTATATCACACTGTATTTATCCACTAAACATCTTCCTCATGATTAAGATTCTATATACTTATTTATAAGCAAATGCCTTTCAGGAAAATGTCTATAGCAATGTTAGTTAAAACATTTCAGTAAGTCTTCTATGTTAAAAAATGGAAGAAATATAGCACTGAATAGCTACTTAATTTTCCCCCTAATTACCGGTGTCTAACTAACGAGAGGAAAATAGACAGAAAATATAGCCAAAATGACATGTCTGTTCTGGACTTCAGCCACGGATAAAATGGCTGAATATTATTTTGTGCAAATGTTCCTAGTATCTTTTACCCACAAACTTGAAAAAAAAATCAGTGGAAACAGGTAACATTGGACTAACTAGACTGAACAGCTGTCTGCAGAAGAACACATCTTGGGATGGAAAAAACAAATGGTTATGGGCAACTGAACTTGAACAGGAGCAGAATTAAAGGTATAAAGAGTGACTGGAGAAATTGCTATAAGATTGTGAGAAGACAATTGCCTATCTGTGGGCTACTGGACTGAATTACAGCAGGAGACATGGAATTAACAATGTGTCAACATCTTCTTCTCAAAGACTTTATAGAAAAAGGAAAAAGAAACTAGATCTCTGCCAGGCTTGATTTAACTCTAGAAGTCCTTACTTTACATAGTATTGGAATGGAATGATTTCTGAACCCAAGGTCCATTTTGATTTTAAGGGCTTTGCAGGTCCCAAAGCATGGTAAATATGGTGAAAGGGAGACAGAAAGATATGAACTTTTATCAAAGTTTGAAACATCTGGTTAGAGAGCAGGCTAATCAATGTAACAGAACTGTTTAAACTAGTGGAATGCACACAAGCTGCTATAGATTTGAGCCCTTGTAGAATCATCATTCCCTGGGAAAATAATGGCTTGTTTCCGATCTAACTAATGCAGTAAAATAATTTAACTATCATTCATAGAAACCATAATTACAACAATGGAAATTGGCGAGGACATTACATCCCCCCAAAAAAACATTTAAGATGAATATTGGTAGACTGACCTGCATCTGTTGAGCCTTTACAAGCTTGTTCACAATGCTTTTCATTACTGAGCGGGTATATGTGTACTATTTCAGCACCACTCTCTTTTAAAATGGAATTCCCATGATCAGACAAACATAAAGAAAGCAACAGGGAAAATACAACCCCGGTCCTCATCTTCAAGGCTGGACTTGGAAGGGAACTTGGAAATCGTTTTCCAGATTTACCAGCCACTCTTGGAAACTGAGTGACGCAATCTGCCAAATGAAAAATACACATTGCACTTTCCAAACACTTAATGTGGCATATTTAGGCTTCATTAACAGTTTTGCTGTTTCCTTTCTAGTTTTTTTTTTTTTTAAAGTTTTTACAACTGTTAAAAATCTGCAAATGCTGTAAGTCAAATGGTGCAACAGATTCAACAGCAGCAGGCAGCTCAAATTTAGAGCGCTGGTTGTCCTTGTCTTACGACCAGTCATTTAGCAACCATTTGAAGTTCCAACAGACCCCCCCCAAAAAGATATTGCGACTCAGATTCAAAGTTCCAACAATCCCACTGCATGGTCATGTGATTACTCAACAACCAGGCCACATTTTGTGGCTGTATGCAGTGTCTCACAGTCACAATTTATGATATTGCTTGCCAATACTTATGGACAACTTAACAACTGCTGCAAAAGAAGTCAGAAAATTGAATCAGTCATGTGGGTACCTCGATTTACAACTATCGTGAGATATGAAAGGAATTCCAGATTCCATTATAGTTGTAAATTGAGGACTACCTGTATTCTTTATTTTTCCAATCAATGATGCTGATGAATAGTCTACAACTTGCATGTGGCCCTGACTTCCTCTCTCCCTCTCTGCTGTTCAACTCTGTTGTATAAAAGCTGGGAGTGAGGAAGATTGTATGGGGAAGAACAAACTACTCGTGTGGAGGAAATAAAGTTAACAGAAAATCCTTAGGCACTTTCCTATTCTCTCTCTCATTAAGTTGCATATCTAGATAGTTAGGAACATCGATTAATTAGTTGGACAACTAAGAACTATGGAAATTCGGAAATTGCAAGGGAGAGATCCCATCTCACACCATGGGACGCAGTTCATGACTCACAGCCACTGGTTATATTGAACAGCACTTTTATTGACTTTTTTTTTTAGAAGGGTAGGGAACCTGCATTCTTATCACCAGCAGGGAATCCTTACAATTGTACATTAGAGGCAGGGGTGAGATTCTACCAGTTTGGACCGGTTTGGGCAAACCGGTAGCTCCGACTATCACCTGGAAGCGTACTGGTTCGCTCTGACTTTGAAGAAGGCCCACTCACCAGACACTCTGCTATACTCACTTATATTTCCTTTTCCGAAGCCCAGCAGATTGGCGTGGCAGAGTAGATTGCCATGCCTCAGCTGTTTTCCTTGCCAGCAGTAATGCAGAACGGGCATTTTCTGTAAATTGCGCACGCGTGTGCTCAGCAAACCGGTTGTTAAACCAGTAGGATCCCACCCCTGATTAGAGGTACATTACATCTTGAGAGGTAATAATTTGCTCTTATTTCAAGCACTTTACTTATCCAAAATACAATCCTATATTTAAGAAGCCCACTTAGACTACCAGTCATTTCTTTATCATTTTTATTGTACACCATCCAGAGTCCCTCTGTGAGAGAACTGGGCAGTTCATAAATATGACACCCACACAAACAAAAAGATTCTCAACAAATCTAAGATGGTTTTAAGTGTAAATTGTTTCCATTCAAATAAAACAATCAGCAATAACTGTCTCAAAGCATCTTACGCTATTGACCTATCCAGTTTGGCTTTTGCATGCTAAAATTATGTTTTGGAAAGTAGATATCGCATTTTTTTGAATATAAGATGCACCGGAGTATAAGACGTACCAAGGTTTTGAAGAGGCAAATAAAAAAAAAGTTTTTGCACTCTGCAAACCTCCCAAAAATGAATAGCCTTTAGAGGGCTTGCAGAGTGCTCCGG